GATGAAGCTCTGCCATCTGAAGGAATGGAGGTTTGTAAAAGAAATTAAGTTTGATTACAGTTCACAGGAGATTTTTCACTGTATTACACTCTCTTCCACTTTAAAAACTGAAGCACAAAAGGCAAAATAATGATATCTCTTCAAGCTTGATGGCAGGTGTTCATCACACTATTTGCTGTAGTTCATGGAGTTAAACTGTTTTACAATAAAAAATGATGTGAAGTATAATATATTTACTTCACTCTAAAATTTTGTGGGCTAAAATGTAACCTCTCACCCAACATCTACTATTTGGGTAGTATCCTTAGTGTTTTAACTATATCACCTTATGAAATGCTCACAGACCCCCCTCGTGAGTAGATATCAATTATGTTTCCTATTTCATTTTCAAACAAGCCTTGTTTAGGCTGGCCTTGCCTTCACTACATGGCCCAGGCTGGCCTCAAACTTCTGTGATCCTCCTGCTTCAGCCTCTCTTGTGCTGAGATTACAGGCATGTGCCACCATGTGTGGTTACTTATTTTCCATACATACAGAAAGTGAAGCTAATTTGAAGAAACAGTATAAAAAAAATACTTTCTAGACATCTTGATGTGAAAGATTTTTTAAGAGTTGTTTCCCGATTTCTTAAAGAAAATAAATAGAGGAAAATATTTTTTAAAGTTCTTAGAATGGAAAAGCAGGAAGAGTCTGATTGAGTCTTCAAGCCAGACAGATAAGAAGAGCGATAGTAAGTCTTACTTTCTACTGGAAAAAGGACATATACGAGATTAAGGTCCCAAAAGAATTCCCCAGACAGAGTTAGTAGGGGGAGGTGTAAGGGTTGGGGATGACGATAAACAGTGATTACTCAACCAAACACAGAGATTTTTAGTACACTGACATTTTTATGCACTTGTGTGTAAACAGTTACTCTTGGGTAGGACCTGTACCCTCTAGTCCCTCCTGCCCTTCTCCCAAGAGCCACCAACCTCCTGAGCCTCAGTGCTGCTACTAAAGTACAGAATGGCTGGGGTGAGTGGCTCTGCTGCGCTGGTTGTTAGAAAAGTAAAACTATAGCATAACTTGTTATAACCCAGAACCAGAACTATTTTCCTAAACTCATTAACAAAGACACGTTTAGGGAGTTTTCTGGCTTCTGGGTGTTAGGAAATGTCAGAAAGATGCTTGCTTCCTAAAATCACTGAAATCAGTGTAAGCAGTCCGGCCTTGGGCTTCTGATCCCAGAGTGGAATTAAGATGAAACTCACAGAGAATGTGAAAAAGCAAAGGTGACAGGCAGGGCTTGGAAGAGAAAGCACAGCCAGGCGAAAGGATGGTGAGAGTACACAGAAAGCAACCAAGCTCACAATTTTACCACAAACAGACCCTCTCTAACCTGCTTAAGGGTCCCGTGTCCCAGAAGTTAACAGATACTAGTTACTTATCAACCTTGAAATACTTCATTATCTGACAAAAATTCTTAAGAGCAAGTATTTTTAATCTATGCAAATTCTAGTCCCGTCATCTAAGATGATTGGCTTTGATCTCTGTCCCATCCATTTTGTTCTATATTTCTAGAAACACATAATCCATGAGCTGACCTTTACAAACGCTTCTAAAAAAATAGAGAGCGAATGAGTTGCCATCTACCCATTCTATGAGTAAATGATTTGAAGAAAGCTATCAACTTTCCTCCAAGCCTAAAGTTATCTGTGGAGGTATTTAAGAACAAAAATGCTTACATCCTTTCTTCATTTCAAATCTTGTCCCTGTGCTAACAAAGTTCTTGATCTTCCTCTCTCATGAAGTTGGAGCTGTTTCTCCAAGTCAGCTTTTATAACCAGAGTAAGATCTGCTTCTCTCTAGTGCCAGCTTCTTGTTGAGGCAGGTTACATAAATAGTTTGCAGTTTTTCCAATCGTGAGGAACTCATTTTGGCATTGACAACGCTTCACTGAATATTATGGTTCGTGTGCTGCTGCTGATTTCACTCCATCGTGGACTTCCCCAGCAGCAGCAGCGGCAGCAGCAGCCTCGGCAGTGAGGTTGCTTTCCAGCTGCTGGGTACTGGTTAACCATTTACCCTGGGCCTCCTCAAATGCCATTTCCTTGCTGGAATGCAGGAGAAGCCCTCTCTCCCTCTGTGTGTGTGTGTGTGTGTGTGTGTGTGTGTGTGTTCCTGTTGACTTTTTCATAGTCAGGATTACTCATCACAGCTGAAAACTGAAAACAATAAATGGGAAACAGTTTGCAAGTTTTTCCATAGAACAGAACCCCAACTGCTTGGCAGGAGACATTCATTAAAGGCGACTTATGTGCACAGCAATCTTTTAACATCAGAGGTGTTCCAGATGCCATACGACACATTGAAGTAGATACTGTCCTTTTCTCGTGTACCACGTTTGTTAACACACAATTTGTTCCAAGAATTTAGAAAGGCATTTTGTCAGAAATAAAATCAAGCAAGGTCAACTTTTGGGTGATCTTTAGTTTTCTACTGCTGAATAGCCAGCAAAAAGACATTCAACGTTAATGAAACTGACATTTTCCCCGCCACTCCTAGCTGAAAATGGTCCTTTAAAGAAAAAAAAAGTAATACTACTTACCCTGATTTCAGTGCATGCCGTATGCATTCATTGAAATATCACACTCTAACCCATTAAATGTGCGATTACTACATACTTACTAAGCAAAGGTAATTAACAATGGCTTGCACTTTTCTATCGAGAATAGCCTGCCTTTACAGTCCCTCTTGTTTCCAACTCGTCTCTCCAGCTAATCAACTCTTGCAGGGTTCCGTTTTCTATTTCTTCCTCATTTCCTCTTCCCTGTCTCCTACGCCCCCGTTTAGACAGCCAATATCTTAAGCTTACACTGTGTACTTTCAAGTGTGCTCAGTTTTTGTTATAGCAAGTGATTTCTTATGGGGATTTAAATTAAACACCCTTTCCATTCTTTGGATAGTCATTTTCCCGGTGGCTTATAAGAAAAAAGTAAAATGACTAAAGAGCACTAATTTTTCTCAGGCCATCTTACAATAAGGTAAAGAGAGAAGCCCCACATTTTAAAAACATATTTTACCTGCTAATTTTAAAAAATTTACATAGTCAGTTGGTAGAAAAGTCAAATCTTCTCTCACAGCCAAGCAGATTTTTAAAAAACAAATCCTCTCTAATAATAAACTTGATGCTCTAATTACATTTTCTACAACTGTAAAAATTCAATGTTTCTATAAATACAGCATAACCTGGTGGCATTCTTCTATTCCAAAAAAAAGGTCAGTCACAAAATTAGAGCAAAGTTAAACTTCGTTTCTTGTTTCAAAGTGTTCCTGAGACATGACAGAAACTTTACAGAGTGTGGGGAACGTCACACTCTGTAGGGCTGCGTCTCCACCTGCCCATCCACACTGGCTGGAGTGTCACGGAAAGCACGCCGCACACAGTCACCCACCCCGACTCCGTCCTTGTGTTTAGAGATGTGAAAGTTCTCTAGAAGTTACCAGCCATTTTTCATGCCTTCCTCTGTGAAGCACAAGGCAGATGTGTCTTAGGCAGCAACAGAACATGGACAAGGAGGAAAAGGGTGGCTTAGGACAGAGTGAAATTCCTTCTGCCCCAGGTCGCCCAGCTGGGCACCACTCAGGCCTCTTAGGCTCCCTCCTCCGCCCAGCTGAGATGATGCACTGTGAAAACACTCACTCTCCCCAAAACGCCTCTTCATGATTCAGAGCTGGGAAAACACTGCCCCGGGTCTAAAATACGTGCCCAAACAGCCCAGCGCCCGGGAGCGCTTTCTCATAGCTCTGGGCTCCCCGCCCTCTGCTGCCAGAGCCTTGGGGATGTGCCTAGCCCAGCGCAGCGCACGTACCGGCCAACTGCGCTCAGAACAAACCCCTGGCGGGTGGCCAGGAGTCTCCCTCCCAGCCACCGCCCCCCGCCAGTGCCTTTTTTTCCCTTCCCATACAATGCAAGATCTTCCTTCCTTAGTTCCCTTAAATCACAGCCCCGGGAAAGCTCCTCAGAGCCTGCATCCAGCCACACGCCAGCATGTCTGGGGGCAAATACGTAGACTCGGAGGTAGGCTCGGGTGGGGCGCGCCTTCTTGGGGCGCATGGAGTGCCTGCTTCTGCTATCTCCCGCTCCAAATACTCCGGCTGCTTTCCCTGCCCCAGCCCTCTCTCCACTTCAGGGCACTCCTCTCCACTGGCACCGAGGAATGGGCCTGGGCGGGGAGGAGAAGAGAAACCAGGAATGTTCTGTGTTCTTCAGTTGGGGAGGGGTACCAAGGGAGCCTCTGAGCTCCAGACCACGGAGAGCAGGGATCGGGGTTCTGGGATGGGAGCTGCCGGACCGATGACCCCCCCCCCACCGGACTTCCCCCCAAGTCCTAAGGACAGTCCCGACCGGCGCGCGCGGGGTGTTTGCACTTCTCCAAAGTTCTGGGGACACCTCTACAACTCTCCCTGCATCCATCTCGGATGCTCCAAAGGCGGGCTGGGTGGGGGCCTCCCCTCCCCCAACTACCACCATCACTAGCGGCCACCTCCTGCACTCACACTCCAACGGCTCTGGAGACCCGGTTTCCCTTTCTCAGGCACGGCTCAGCCGCCCGCCGT